GTTGATCATGAATCACGAGAAAGACATTGTTAAAGTTTTGGACTTTACCATCGAGAGAAGACAAGAGATTGACGAAACCAACAGTGACTGCTCCCTGCTCCCCGAGAGCCTCCCGGACAACATAAAGAGAGACCAGTTGAAGCTGCTGTCAGAGTTAACTGAATGCAACGTATTGAAGTTCCACTGGGACTCAATCGACCCTAGACTGCTCCTTATTGAAGTTGGAAGAGTAACAAGGAAACAAAAGCAAACTGGCAGAGAGGTATTGTCTGTTTGTTTGTACACAATAACCCTTCCTTCCTCTACTCTCACTCTCTCTTTACGTATTTTTTAAATATGCAATTACATGTATTTATGATAATGTATAGCGCTTTAATTTGGCAGAGTTTAGTCTTGGCGACTGGCGGTCTGCAAGTGGAATTGCCAATATTAAAACTGCCAATTATTAATGTACATGCTAAGTAACCATGCACATATCTCAACACAATAAATTGCCATATTAAAACTGCCAATTATAATTTTACAGCAAAATTGTCAAAATAAAGCACTACTTGTATATCATATAATATTTTGTAATTGTTCTCTTGTAGTCTGAGGACTGGGAGAAAGCTGTCATAACGTTATTTGTAACGCAAGATTTATCATATTTATTTCAAGATATTAAACCGTTGAAATCAAAGCATCACGGTATAGGAGAGAGAAAGATTTATTATCAATTAATATATTATTTCTTTTTTTGTACATCCAGGGCTTGTGGGCTGCACTGCTCCTTCAGTTTATTATATGAGAAAAGTAAATAATAATAATAATAATAATAATAATAATAATAATAATAATAATAATAATACAGTAATAAAAGCATGTTATTATTATTATTATTATTATTATTATTATTATTATTATTATTTTATTTTTTTGATTTTGGAGACATTTATTATTATTATTATTATTATTATTATTATAAAACAACAATAGAAAATGTAACACATACATGTAGATAGCATTATGATGGGAATAGAGGGAAAGCCCTACAGAACAAAACAAAGAAATACAAGAAGACAAGGAAAAGCTGGAAGAAAAAGGAAAGCAGTTAGATGCTCCCATCCACAATAGGTGGAAGAGAGGGAGAGCGGCTAAGCAACATGTGGGCGTTTGCACGCCAGAGGCAAACAGAAAGTTTCTGAAAATTATTATTATTATTATTATTATTATTATTATTATTATCATCATTATTATTATTGTTTATTATTGTTGTTATTATTACTCAGTTAGTTGATTCAGTCTCCTCATTACCAGTGGAGAGGCTGCCACTGAGGGACTTTAAAGGACTAGAGGACTGTGATCCTCCTACTGTAAAAGCAGTACTCTCTTTCTCCTATCATTCTACAATGGGGAATATGGACGAAGCATTTAAAGATGTCAAAAATATCAAGAGGTACCAACTTGTAACATTGTACATACCGTATAGCGGGAAATTTTGAAGGGAATTAAATTTGGCGAATTGGTGTTTTGATAGCCATTTGCCAAATTAAAATTTACCATTTTGAGCCATTATACGCATGCTCAATGGCATGTGGCCACTAATTCGCCAAATTAAAACTCACCAATCATTAATTTTAGTAATTCGCCAAATTTAACTCCCTCCAAAATTTCCCTCTATACAGCATGCATGTCTACATATTGCTAATTTCACTAAATTGTTTAATTTTTGAGGCATTTTAAAAGGGATTGGCGACATGAATTCTGTGTTGTAATTGTTTATGATTTTTTTAATATAAAAGCTATTATCATTATTATTGTTTGTTTATATTGTTATGTAATGGAAGAGTCCACAGTTTACAACAGCTGTAGAAAGAATGTCAATTGTTTACACAATAGAGAATATTGTTAGTAACATTAGTTGACCTGATGTCAATTAATTGTTTTTATGGCTAGTGTTCCATGTCTGTACCCTGTTTACAAGTGTAATGATGTTTACAATTGAATTTTTGCATTTAGTACACATCATTTTGTACAAATATACTGTATAGTGGGAAATTTTTTTGTGACCCAAAATTTTCGCGGATCCTTCTAAAAATCAATTTTGTGGCTTTAATTCTCGTGGTTTTCTACTTTTCGACCATCTTGAACTGTATTAAATTGGTTTTCATGGATTTGATTAAAATTGTGAATTTTGAAAAAAAAAACACAAAATCCATGAAATTTTGGGCCACGAAAATTTTCCCGCTATACAGTATGTGTATATTGTTTATATTGCTGGAAATTTTATTCTGTTTAATATTCTCTCTCCCCCTCTCTCTCTCTCCCCCCCTCGTTCTCCCTCCCTCTCTCTCTCCCTCTCTCTGTCTGTCTGTCTCTGTCTGTCTGTCTGTCTGTCTGTCTCTCTCTCTCTCTCTCTCTCTCCCTCCCCCTCCTCTCTCTCTCCCTCTCTCTCCTCTTTCTCTCTCTCCCTCTCTCTCCCCCCTCTCTCTCTTTCTTTATACAGTAAAGGAGTGTGGGAGACGTTAGCCATGATGTGTGTCAAGACTCACAGACTTGACGTGGCTCTTATTTGTCTCGGTAATATGGGAAACGCAAGAGGGGCTAAGGCAGTGAGAGAAGCAAAGAACATCCCAGAGGAAGATGCCCAGTTAGCTGTTCTTGCTGTTCATC